TCCCCAGGTTCTCTTGGCACCAATACCGTATATTTCGATCCCCCCCCCCCCCCCCCCCCCCCGGACGGTGCCCGAATCTGGAGAATCACGACCGGCCCAAGGAGCTAAAAAGGAAACAATATCACTGACACCCGAGACGGTGCCCAGAACATCGGAGAGGCAAACGACGGTGGTTGCTTATTTCGAGAACAATATTTCTCCCCCCGGTCGAGCCAATAGTTCGTGTGATTGGCTTTTAGTCAACGAACCCTTGGCGGGGGGCGCAAAGCGGATATGGGGAGATATTATCGGCTGTTGCGCAGACAAAACAATGGCATGTCTCAACGCCTCAAAATATGCCTCTCTGCTTTGAAGGTCTGTTGCTCCCTTCTTCTGTTGCTAAGAGCTGGACGGTTCGAGGGCGTCTTCGTCCAAAAAAAAAAAAAAAAAAAAAAGAAAAAAAAAAAAAAAGACGACGACGTTCCGGCGGCCGAGACAGCAACCCCGACGCCTCCTCTCGTGTTGGTTGCCTCGGCTGGTAAAGGAAGAGGTCCCTCGTTCCGCAGGAAAAGCAAAAAATAAAGGACGAACCTGCGACAGGGCTGTTCAGGCGGCGAGAGCCGAGAGAGAGAGAGAGAGAGAGAGAGAGAAACGCGCGCGCGCACACACACACACACACACACACACACACACACACACAAGGCACAAACCTGTTCGAGTGCCTGAAGCGCCGCTTGATACAGCCGATGCCTTGTCTCTCGTCCGGGCCAGCGTTTGTGTGACATGTCGATGAAGCCGCGGCGGTCTCCGACAGAAACGGGACGATCCGAAAGAGGAAGAAAAGGAAGGGGAGGGAAGACGCCTCGATGCGCCGATTTGCACCTGCATGTCAACCCCCCCAAATCTACAGAAATAACCGTCGGACAATTACCGTAAAGGAAATCTCGCATCAATGTTTGGGCCGAAGAGAGGATCGCGCAGACCGTGGGCACACAAGGCATGCAGGTGTTCGTCATGAGATGTTCATCGCTGCGGCTGGCGCGTCGTACGAACCCGCTTCTCGCGCCTTTTCTTTCTTTTTTCTCCCCCACGACGGTGAACCGCCTGTCTGCCTAGCTGGATCGGCATGCCTACTAACACCCCGCACGCTGACATACATTCGTACCGGTGTGAGGTCTCGGCGAGCTGCTTCATCGGCTGCGTGACCGTGGCACTCGTCTCATTGAGTCCCCGGACAGCCGCGACTTGCGACCAAAGTGTGTGTGTGTGTGTGTGTCCATCCGGGGGGGGTTGTATCTTTGACACTCGGTGACGTGTGCGTGTGTGAGCGTGTTTCTCTCTCTATCCAACAACTCCATTTCTCCCACACAGCATCGCCGCCGCCGCTGCCGCCGCCACCCTAGTCCCTCGCTCAGTGGAACACTCACTGTTGTTGGCAGGCTCGGCATCGTCAGCATGTCGAAAGACACTCCCGAGGTGACGGCTCGTTATGCAACCAATGGGACGGCCGAGAGGCGCCAGGCAGAAAGGAGAGGCATCTGAAACATGCTCTGCTCCCCGCAATGATACAAATCCGACGCAAGCCTCCCAAAAAAGCATGACAAGAGTGCTGTGTGTGTATGAGTTTGTAAGAGCACAGTGCGCTCTCCACCCCCGCGCGCGTCCGAGCTCGAAAGCCCGCGTCCACTGGGTTGGTCAGTCGCCGTATGCCCACGTGGTGACGGGGGCGGCTCAGAAGCAACGACCACATGCGCCTCCACCCCTGACCATCACACCACACACACTCTCAACAGGGGTTTGATGGACTGATTGCCACACCCGTCCCTCCCCAAGACCGCAAACCTGACGGGGCGCTTGGTAACGTTGCTCAGCGGGTTACGCACTCTCAATCTCTCTCTCTCTCTCTCTCTCTCTCTCTCTCTCTCTCTCTCTCTCTCTCTCTCTCTCTCTCTCTTTCTGTAGGCTGGTGCTCACCGCAGACACGGGTGAGACTGAGACAAGAGGGACGAGGCCAAAGCCTGATGGTGGTGCTGCTACTGCTGTTGTTTCTTGCCTGATCAGCTGAGCCTCCTTTCGTTAGTCGCCAATCCATCAGCTTTCCGCTTCAGGGATTAGCAGTCGCTACTGCAGGTACTACAACTATGGCGACGAGGCAACGTACCCAGTGTTCCCGTTTGGCACTCTCTGTCCCAGTTTGCGTCCGGTCCGCCTTCGCTTCCCGAGACAGTATACTCGGCCCCTTGAAGCTATTCCAATTTCTCTCTGAGCCGCAGCAAGGGGACACGAGTCCCAGTAGGACGGACGGACGGACGGACGGATAGACAGACGGACGGGAGGGACGTATTGGGGAAGGGGAGGGGCCTCAACTTGCTTTGGCTTTCCAGATGCGGCCTTCGGCGGATGTAGTTGATGGGCTTGTTTCTCCCTACTCAATGCATTGCAGCCTCCTGTATCCCATACGTTGCCGCCGTAGTCGTCGTCATATACCTAGTGCACCATCGATCGCCACCGACCCGCCGGCCGAGCATGCCAGGAATAGGTAGTGGCCATCCTCTCGGGGACAGGGCCTCTTCCATTCTAGGCAAGAGGATAAAAGTGTTCTCCGTCGTTTTTTCCTTCTTAGCCCCGGGCGCGGTACCCTAGCCTCAAAGCCGCATCTGAGACGAAAGAATCCAAATGGAGCTGTCTGTATCCGTATCAGAGCGTCCGCTCGTCCCGTACAAACGGTGGCACTTTACGGACATTGATTTACGGTTTCATCCGGTCAATGACCGTCCACAATCCCGCTAACAAGCCAGCCCTGTCCGTACGGAAAGCGAGCATCGACCGGGCTAGTGGGGGTTCCAGCCGGTTGATCGACCAGCAGGCACTGCACCTCGACGTTTTCAGAAGAGGCCGAATAATACAGGTACTTCCATGTTTCCTCGGCTGGTATGCTCTCGGTGTGCCGTTGGCTCGACGGAAACGCACGCCGTGCTATCTGTCACTGCACCCATCCATGCCATGGTTCACACCCTCTCCGGGCTTGCGACCCATGGTGGTGAGCGGTCATGTGGACTCGAGTGCTGGGGTTGGATTTGACGGAGAATTTGCCCTGCCTGTGCTGACGCCGCAAGTTCAGTCGATTCTCAACCCGTCAGCCTGGCCGAGCAGCCTCTAGAAATAGCCCATGTTATATCCGGACCATGCTCGATGCAGCTCTAGTCTGCGCTGTTATCAAACGACATATAGTGCCAGTCAGCCCGAGATGCTGTGTAATGACTGCACCGCCGTCCCCGCCGAGGTTAGCTCGTCGTCCTGTCCGACAATGCACTTCAGATGCTGCTCCAATCATGTCGTCAAACCACTCGTCGAGCCGTCCGACCACGAGTCTGTGCTGGGCCGCTCGTACGGAAGCTAGCATATCTCTGCCTGTCAAGAGGGTCACAGTCCGTGAGTCATGGCCGGCCGTTTCAACTCCGGTGAGACTGTCGCCGCGATAGTTTCCAAAGGTCACACCCACCTAGCCTGCAGAGTTAACGGTGTGCGGCGGTCCACTCAGCTCCCTCACGACGGTGCTCGGTGTGGTTGCGCATCTTGGTACTTTGTCGACATGTATCTTTTCGAGTTACATGTCGGTGTACGTCGTCGGATTAGCCATCGACCCATCGCGTGACGGCAAGGGTTGGCAGCGATGTTTCCAGCCACGGAAACCAAGGCAAGTAACATCCTTGCCCTAGCATGATATGGGAACAAATATAATCTCCAGGGCTATAGCAGACCTCTCGAAATGATTCATTCTGTCACGGAAGCTTGACAAAGGTTTGCTTTCGAGACAGCTGAGCTGCGTTTAATGGCATGTGTCATGCCAATTGGGAATTCACCCATCCTTGGTTGTCAACCCCCCCCCAAATACGGGAGCTCGGCCAATGGTATACAATTACCGTTCGAAAGCTCGAGAATAGTGGCGACTGCGACGCAATGCGCTCAGCCCCGAGGTTGCGACCGCGATCTCGCGATCACTTGACTCCCCCCATCGTGGGTGGCGTAACGTTGAAGCAGATAGAAACGGCAGCGTGCAACGCCAAGGAACTCGTGCGACAACAGCCAAGAGGAGGGGCGGCGTAGACGTCAACTGATGTTCGCGATTCCAATGGCTTGGGAAATTCTCAGTGCTGACTTGGACTGGGAGGTGAAGCCTAATCTGAGTCGTACTGTCGTAAAGCACCCTGGCATCAGCTAATAAACTTTAAGGCTAAACCAGCGTCCAGTACCGATTTCTAATCACCTTCGGGTGCCATGGGACCAGTTTCAGTTGTCGCTGATCTAGTCGAGTACCTATGGTTGCCCGAGCGTTGTTGTCAACACATGTTACCCACGGCTCTCCGGATAGACACTCCGGCACCGTGCCGCGTGGTAAAGCGCTAAGAGCCCGGAACTCCCGGCGGACTGAACGGCGATTACAAGCGCGTGTCATGCCTCTCTCGGAATACTGGGCCGGCACCCATGAGACGACGCCGGTGGTCTCTGAGGTAGCCCAGCGATAGAGTTCAGGTTCGTCATGTCTCCCTCCACCCCGGCACAACCCAAGGCAGGCCTGCGGCCTGGTTTCGACTCTGGAACCACTTTTCGTGACATTGATGTTTGAATGCTCTAGTCATACTTGTAAGCACACGACGAAGCCGTAACGAAACAAATCGCCTATTCTTGCTACATCTCGATGTGTTCAAGGAAGACGTCTCACGATTGTTGTGTGTCTATTAGAAACAATTTGGTAATTCTTTTGTTCGGGAGGGGCACACGAAACAATAGGCGGGGAACAGCCCCCAATGTGCGGTCCTCGGTATTCCAGTATATGCGATGTATCCCAGCAAATATGACAAGAGGTGTCAACTGCCGATCTGAAGTGGACCATTATTGTCCCATCGAGCAAAGTTCCCGGAGCAAGGAATACGAGCTCCCCGTGTTGCTGGGGGCCCTCTATTTGTCGCCCGATGTGGGCGGTTTGAACTCCCCTGCTCAGACGGTCACTCGCTTGCGCCTCAAGATGCGTCCTCCTCGGCGCCAGGATTCGGCATCTGGGTAGAACTGATCCAGTTCTCCATGCTGGCTTGACCAGCGGGCTGCTTGGCGTTCCCTGGTCCGCTCGAAGCCGCCAGTCTTAGACCATGTCGCTTCTTGACGACGAGGCAGAGCACGCGACCATAGATGGCAAAACCTTCGTATGAAACATCCATGGCCATCTTCTTCTTGTCATCGTCGTCATGATCGCCTTCAAACCCACCGCCCCGCTTCTTGATGCGCTTAGAGGGCGGAGAAATATCGTCCTCGGAACCTATTTCGATCGCTGAGGCTACATGTCCAGCATCATCGCCCGAAGGCAGCTCGTAATCGCCGTCAGAGCCGCGAGATTCCCCGCGTTGTCTTTTTGACCGCCGAGGCCGGCTTGTTTCATCGACGACGGGGATCCGGGAAAGCCCACCGGCATCGCCCTCGGGTTCGCTCTCCTCTCGAACGGGCACCGCGTCACCGGAGCCTTCGGCCTCCATGTCCAGATCGATGGGCGCATCATTTGTTTCGCCAATCAGCTTATTAGAGTTGGACTGCAGCCTGCCAGTTGCCTTGTCCCGGAAATGTTTGTGCTTAGTGAGCAGTGAGTGGCGAGTGTTGGTCTCAGTAAGGAACATTGACACCTCGAACTCATCTGTTCAATAAGACGATCAGCCAACTCTATTCAGTTCGAGGGGGGAAAGCCTACGTCTGACTTATTGTAGAAATGGAAGAAAATGTGGCTGAGCCGGCAAAAGTGACAGCAAGCAAGGCCACGAAACGGCGTGACGAACCTTGAACGACGACATCTTTGATGCTCTTCTTCTTGGAGCTTTTCTTCTTGGTGCGCTCCCTCTCCTTTTCTTCGCGCAGTTTCGGCAGCACCAAGTGACGAACGCTTTCAATGACCTTGGGCAATATGGGATTCCGGGGATTCAGGAGCCAGCTCTGTGCCAAGGCCGGATTATCGAGATAAATGCGACATTCGAGGACGGAATACTTGGTGATCCTCAGATACCGACGGAGGGGCGCCATTGATGTTCCAAAGAAACTGGGTTACAATATCGGGCGTGAAGTGTGTGCAGTATGAGATCAGACGTGGTTGCTGGGGTGTCTTTCTGCACCGTTTCTGTCAAGGTGTGGTGGGGGGTAACGTAACGAGGCCAAGACAAACACGATGACTGAGAATAAAAAGATGGCTGTAGATGTTGCGTACTGGTGTGAATGAATCAGCGAAGTCGACCGTGGGCATGTAAGGTCGTCTGGTATCTGTGAAGAAGAGAAGTTGTGGTTACATGGACCTACCCCAGGTAGGTAGGTAGGTAGGTAGGTGAGTAAGTGAAGCTCAAGGCGTGACGTCGGGCGAGAGGGCCCCCACGGCGCCGATGTACCTTTCCCGGATCCACCTGCACGCAATTGCGGTTGGGACAGGGACGTGTACTTGGGCTCCCCGTGCTGTTGCTTATGCGGGGCCGCTGCACGAAGCAGCAGCAGCAGCCTACGACCTCAGGCACAAAGCCACCCCATTGGCAGATCAAACATGGCCCCACTTAAATTTTATCGGAATCGCGTTATCCACCCGCGGCATCGTGTCGATTCTCATCGAGAGAGAGAGAGCTCAGCATCCCCCATACTCCCAAGTGCGCATTGCGGCTTACACTTAACCTTCCAGTGATGCTTACAAAGCGATCATGTCCAAGTCATGGGCGTCGACACTGAGGTTACCCAAGTCTACCTTTCCGTAAGCTCTGATCCCCGTCCGGCCCTCCGACCTCCGTCACCGCCCTCAGCTGACCCGTGACCTGCGGCCCGCCCTCAGACCGCGCCCGCTCTCGCAGTTCCGTGCCGACTACCTGCGCCGATCCGCGGATGACTTTTACCAATGGCAGCTATCCAACGAATCGAGGCCCGCGTTTTCTCTGCATGACGGCCCTCCGTACGCCAATGGAGGCCTTCATGTTGGTCATGCCTTGAACAAGATCTTGAAGGACATGATCAACCGGGTCAAGGTCCAACAAGGTCGGCCGCCCTCAGCCATCTTGGTCTTCGTCCGTGGACTGACATCGCCCTCGCAGGTTACCGTGTACGATACAGACCTGGCTGGGATTGCCATGGGCTCCCCATCGAGATGAAGGCCGTTGGCGCCTCCGGCGGCAAGGGCCTGACTGCGACCGAGATCCGCAAGGCTGCTAGACAGCTCGCCTCTGCCACGGTGCTGGAGCAGATGGATGGTTTTCGATCATACGGCGTCATGGGCGACTGGGATGCACGATGGACGACCATGGACCCCGACTTTGAGATCAGGCAGTTGCGCTTGTTCCAGCAGATGGTCCGTCGAGGTCTCATCTACCGCAAGAGCAAGCCCGTATACTGGTCGCCATCGTCGAGGACCGCCTTGGCCGAAGCCGAGCTGGAGTACAACGAGAACCACGTCTCAACGGCAGCCTATGTAAGGTATCCAATCACTGGCGGCCCGTCGTTGAGCGGCGTCTCCGGCCAGCTGTACGCCATCATCTGGACCACCACACCTTGGACGCTCCCCGCCAATAAAGCCATTGCTGTTCACGAGGACCTCGATTACGCCGTCGTATCTGCCAAAGGAGCCTCGTACCTGACCGCCGTCAGCCGACTGGAGGCCGTAAAGGCTCTCTTCCCCGAGGAGGAGCCCCAGGTCGTCGTGTCGTCCATCAAAGGTTCCGAGCTAAAGGGATTGAAGTACCACAACAGACTGCAGGGTGTGCAGTCCGCGCCGCAGCCCGTTATCCATGCAGACTTTGTCTCCGCCGACTCGGGAACCGGTCTCGTTCATATCGCCCCGGGCCATGGCTTTGAGGACTACGAGGCGTGTGCGCAACTCGGCATTGACGCCTTCGCGCCTATAGACGACGAGGGGAATTTCACCCGTGAAGCCTTCCCCGATGCCCCCGAAAAGTTGACCGAGGCCTCTTCAATTCTCAAGGGCGGCAGCAAGGCCGTTCTCGCCCTGATCCAAGACGATGTCTTGAGCGCCGCAAAGTACAAGCACAAGTACCCCTACGACTGGCGGACGAAGCAGCCCGTTGTTATGCGGTCCACCGCTCAATGGTTTGCGGACGTTGACAGCATCAAGGACGATGCCGTCGACGCACTGAAGGACGTCAAGTTCGTGCCGGCCTCGGGGCGCAACCGCCTTGAGAGCTTCGTCGTAGGCCGCAGCGAGTGGTGCATTTCGCGCCAGCGTGCCTGGGGCGTGCCCATTCCTGCCCTTTACAACGCCGACGGAGATGCCGTGGTGACGGAGGAATCTGTAAGCCACATCATCTCCGTCATCCAGCAGCGCGGCATCGATGCCTGGTTCTCGGATGCCCCCGACGAGCCTGCCTGGGTCGCCCCGTCTCTCAAGGGGCAGTTCCGCCGCGGCACCGATACCATGGACGTCTGGTTTGACAGCGGGAGCAGCTGGACGGAAAGCAACGGCCAAGCCGATGTCTACCTCGAAGGGTCTGACCAACATCGCGGCTGGTTCCAGTCTAGTCTGTTGTCATATGTCGCCGCCCAAAGAGCCGAGAGCGACGGGGCAACTCGGGTGCAGCCCAAGTCCCCCTTCAACACGCTCATCACCCACGGATTCACCCTGGATCAAGCCGGCAAGAAGATGTCAAAGTCGATTGGCAACACCATCACGCCTGCCCAGATCATGGACGGCACTTTGCTGCCTCCGATCAAGGTCAGAGGCAAGGCCAAGGTGGCCGGCGCCGGTCCGACATACGAGGCTCTGGGTCCGGACGCGCTGCGTCTCTGGGTGGCCAGCTCCGAGTATACCAAAGACGTAGCCGTCGGCCAGGCGGTCCTCAAGTCTGTCCACACGATTTTGGTCAAGTACCGCACCATCATCAAGATGCTGACCGGCTCGATGCACGAGTCGGCGCGCACCGCCCCGACGACTGCCCTCGACCACATCGCTCTCATGCAGCTGAAGGACGTCACGGAGGAGGTCCACCAGGCGTTTGCCGCGCACGAGTTCTACAAGGCCTTCAACGCCCTGAACCGCTGGGTGGCTAACGACCTATCGGCCTTTTACCTGGAGGCCATGAAAGACCGCCTCTACTGCGGCGACGGCGGCGGCGTCCTGGAGCCCATCTTCTTGGGTTTCCTCCGGATGCTGTCGCCTATGACCCCGCTCCTGGTCGAGGAGGCGTGGGACCACCGTCCCGAGTTCATGAAGGCCGACCGAGCTCTCCTCCACCCCCTGCACACCCCCCACGACGCCCCGATCCACGACCGGCCCCCCTCGGCCGTCGGGGAAGAGTCTCTCCGCAAGGACCTTCCGGTGCTCATCTCCGTCTCCGGCGCCGTGAAGGCGGCCCTCGAAAAGGGCCGGCTGGCCAAGGTCCTCGGCTCGTCGCTGCAGTCGTCGGTCGTCGTGACCACCGAGGACCCGGCGGTGGCCGGCGTCCTGGGCAAGTACGGCGAGGAGGAGCTGGAGGCCATGTTCGTCGTGTCGTCCGTGGAGACGAACGTGGAAGTGCCCCCTGGGGCCGCGTGGCGCTACGACGAGGCGTTCGAGGTCGACGGCGCAAAGGGGACCGTCTCGGTGCTGCCGCCCAAGGAGCACAAGTGCCCTCGTTGCTGGCGGTACGTCGCGCTGAAGGAGGACGCTCTCTGCCGTCGCTGTGAGGATGTCGTATAGAGCTTGTAAGAATAGACAGACCCGTGTATAGATGTGTTGCAAATAAAGGAGAAAAAAGATACCCCTCATGATGATACCAAGGTTCTCGAGAACCAAGTTTACTTCACAGACACACACACACACACATGACAAGGAGAGGCGACGACTGACAAGCCACTGAGCAAGGTATCATGGGCGCATAAAATTTCGACTCCCATCCCAAGGTCGCTCCACTAACTGGTCTTCTTTTTTATTTCTTATTTTCTTTTTTACATTTTCCCAATACCCTAGTCCTGAAGAGGCTGGCCCATGCCGCCGTAAGTAATCATCTTGGTGACCTGGTACTCGGAAATACCATACAGGGAACCCTCGCGGCCGAAGCCGGACTCCTTGACGCCGCCGAAGGGGGCGGCGGGGTCGGAGATGAGGCCGGTGTTGACGCCGACCATGCCGACCTCGAGGTGCTCGGCCACGCGGTGCACGCGGTGGATGTCGCGGGAGAAGAAGTAGCCGGCGAGGCCGACGTTGGTGGCGTTGGCCAGGGCGACGACCTCGGCCTCGGTGTCGAAGCGGAAGAGGCCGGCGACGGGGCCGAAGGTCTCCTCGGTCGCCATGGCCATGTCGGCGGTCATGCCGGTGATGACGGTGGGCTCGTAAAAGTTGCGGCCGAGCGCGTCCATCCTGGCGCCGCCGACGACGACGCTGGCGCCCTTGCGCTCGGCGTCGCGGACGTGGGCCTCGGCCTTGTCGACGGCGCGGTCGTGGATGAGGGGCCCGTGGGTGGTGCCGTCGGCGAAGCCGTTGCCGACGGCGAACTCGCGGACCTTTGCGGCGAACTTGTCGGCGAACTCGTCGTAGACGCCGCTCTGGACGTAGATGCGGTTGGCGCAGACGCACGTCTGGCCCGAGGAGCGGAACTTGGAGGCGACGGCGCCGGCGACGGCGGCATCGACGTCGGCGTCGTCGAAGACGATGAAGGGGGCGTTGCCGCCCAGCTCCATGGACAGCTTCTTGAGGGTGCCGGCGCACTGGCCCATGAGGAGCTTGCCGACGCCGGTGGAGCCCGTGAAGGAGATCTTCTTGACGGTCGGGCTGGCGGTGAGGGCGGCGCCGACCTCGGGGGTGTTGCCGAGGGCGGTGACGACGTTGACGACGCCCTTGGGCACGCCGGCGCGGTGGCCCAGCTCGGCGATGGCGAGGGAGGTGAAGGGGGTCTCGCCTGGCGCCTTGCAGACGACGGTGCAGCCGGCGGCGAGAGCGGGGCCGATCTTGCGGGCGATCATGGCGGCGGGGAAGTTCCATCTGGGCACCGTCCAGTCAGTTATTTGGTGTTCCATCCAAGATGTTTCCTATTCACAGTTTTCATTCACGGATGGCTAGGCCGGGTTGAAGAGGATGAGGGAGGGGGCGGGCGGCTTACGGCGTGATGAGGCCGCACACGCCGACGGGCTCCTTAACGGTCCACACGCGGTTCCCGGGCACGGAGGAGGGGATAGTGTCGCCGTAGATGCGGGGCGCCTCCTCGCTGAACCACTCGAAGAAGTTGGCTGCGTAGGTGACCTCGCCCTTGGCGTCGGCGACAGGTTTGCCGTTCTCCCAGGTGATGAGGGTCGTCAGGTCGTCGGCGTTCTCCATCATAAGGTCGTGCCACCGGCGCAGCAGCTTGGAGCGCTCGCGGCCCGTCTTGGTGCGGAAGGTCTCGAACGCCGTGGCGGCGGCGGCGATGGCGGCGTCCGTGTCGGCCTTGGCGAACTCGGGGCACGACGCGATCTTTTCGCCGGTGGCCGGGTCTGTTTGTCGGCAGTCAGCTTTACCCGGGGAGGGGGGGTGATGAGACATGCGGGCCGAGCTTACCGTTCACATCAAACGTCTTGCCGGACTTGGCCTTGACCCATTCGCCGTTGACATAGCAGACGTCCTGCTTCAGCAATGACGGGTCTTTGAGCTAAGAGGAGGTGTGTGAGCGAGCGAGCCATGCGGCTTGCCAATTGGATCGCGGCAGGGGTTTGCATTTACCTTGGGAACCATGGTGGAGGCGGCTCTGAGGGCAAATGGGATGACCGGTGTCCGGACAGATCGAAACAAGGTCCTCGGTACGAACCGTGACGCCGGGGCGACTGCTTTTTGTAGCAGGATGGGCATGATGGAGAGCCGATGTAGGGTGGGAGGGAGAAGAAGAAGAAGCAGAAGCAAAGTAGAAGCTCTTAGCTCGTTCGCTGATAGAGCTGTTGTAATGCCGGGAGCTGGAGTGTCTGTTTCGGATGAAGTTGAGGGCCTCTAGTGTTTCCGGTGCTAAAGCGCGAAGCTTGAACGCTTTCTTGTCGGTGACGAGCTAGCAGAGGAGAGGCAATTGAGAGTATGGAACGGCGCTCTCTCTCTGGAGCAGTTCGCGTTGTCGAGGCTCTTCAATGGCAGCAGATATGATGGTACCGCAGTAGAGGATCACGATATTTGGCTGCAGAGCTGCGCGCATCCGGGTGACGTTCGATGACGTCCCCCCACTTAGCTGACGGTGACCGGCCCGGTTGGTGATATCAGTCTGTGTTAAGATAACGCTCAGTGCCGGGGCGGGGCGACTAACAGATGATAGGTATTACTCCGTACGTTCCGGTGTCGAGCTGTTCCCCTGTTGTAGACCCCACTAGAACTATGACTCGCCTGCATCCACATGACATTTCACTCACTCACTCACTTGCCGCACTAGCAACTCACTTGCCGCACTAGCAACTCACTCACCCACTCACTCACTCACCCACTCACTCACTCACTCACTCACTCACCCACTCAGCACTCACTCACCCACTCGCTCACCCACTTCGTCGCACAGACTGCTTGATCGAGATGCTTCGCACTTATTGCAATGAACCGGAAATCGTATTAGACCAGCCAGTGCACATCTCTCACATCGACGTAGAATGACGCCAAACGTCCCCCTCTCCCCCTCTGTCGTGCAGCTAGAGCTTCCTGGTGCTCGTCTCATCCCCAAACAGCCTTTTGCATCTGGGAACCTCCGCACATGACTCTTGTTTGATCCTCGTGGGCTCATCGCCAACCTCATTCGGTCCTGGTGCTGCTTCCCTCGCCACCTTTTTTTTGCCATGGCCATGGGGGAGAAGAAGAAGAACAAGAAGAAGTATCTGCTGCCCCGTCCCCGCATCTCATACACACCTGCAGGCCAAGCTCTTGCTCCCAAGACCCGTCTTGCCGCTTTCCGCGGTGATCTCGCCCGTTTCCGACCAGCTCAACCGACCTGCATGCCGTCATGGTCATGGTCATGGTCATATACCACCCGCCTGACTTGTACTGACTTCCGCCTCGGCATCTTTTCCCGTCCCCTTCTGCAGCGCGACTGTTAAAATCCCCGCCGCCGTCGGCCACCGTCGTTTGATGCGGGGAAGAAGCTTTCATTGTCACCTCGAAAACCCAAAATCCGCTCCCCCTGGCAACAACAACACCCGCCGCCCATCATGCCCGCCTCGATCGCCATCCGGTCACTCGGCTCCATCCTCAGCCATGAGATCCGTTGCCTCTTCACCGCCTTCCCGCCCTCTTATGGCCTGCTGGCGTGGGCCGGATTTCTCCCGCACATCGTCGACGCCCTCGCGGTGACGCGCGACATGGCCCCCATCGCCGTCCCCGGCCCCGAGGAGGCCAGCGCCGTCTTCGATGCCTTTGTGAGCTACTCGCTCGAGTTCGCCTTCTTCCCGGACTTCGCCGGTAAAGGCCCCCTCGAATCTTCATTACCCTAGACTCGAGTAAACCTTGCGTCTCGAATCGGCTCTGACTATCCCCCCTCCCGTATGTGTTAGGAAACGCCTCGGCCCCGAACACCTTCTCGGACAACCTGCTGGCCAACATTGGCGCCCTGCAAGGCGTCCGTCCCTACATCCGGGTCGGGGGCAACACGCAGGACTACGCCCTGTACGACGAGTCGCTCCCGTACGCAGTCAACGGCACGTACGACTTCGACCGGTCGAGGGACTACCCGACCACCGTCTACATCGGCCCGTCCTTCTTCGAGTCCTACGGCACCTTCGCCGACACAAAGTTCACGCACGGCTTCAACCTGGGCCTGGGCGCCAACCGCTCCGAGGGGTGGGAGACGCTCAAAGCCACGGTGCCGCTGGCGTGCAGGGCCATCGGAAAGGACAACCTCGACGTCTGGGAGTACGGCAACGAGCCGGACCTCTACTCGACCTCGGCCCAGGGCCCCGTGCGGCCCCCGTCGTGGGACGAGGCCGCCTACGTCGCGCAGTGGCTCAACGGCACCCGCGAGATCGCCCGCGTCCTCGCCGCCGCGTGCCCCGACTTCCCCGCGCCGCCGGCCTTCAAGGCCCCGTCCAACGGCGGCACGGCCAACCGCCTCCGCGCCCCCGCCCAGTGGGCCGCCGGCCTCAACGCCGACGCCAACGTCGCCCTCTTCTCCACCCACAACTACATCAGCGGCGCCGAGAGCCCCGGCGTCACCCTCCAGGGCACCCTGATGAACCACACCCGGACCGTCGAGTCCGTCCGCGCCCACGTGCGCGAGTACGCCAACATGACGGCCCGCTTCGGCCACGACGCCGTGCCCCCGCACATCCTGGGCGAGCACAACTCGCTCTACAACCAGGGCAAGCCGGGGCTGTCCAACTCCTTCGGCGCCGCCCTCTGGGGCGTCGACTTCAACCTCTACGCCGCCTCGCAGGGCATCAAGCGCAGCCACATGCACATGGGGACGGACTACAGGGTAAGGTCCCTCCTCCTACTCCTCCTCCTCGTCCTCCCCTTACCCTTCCCTTGCATTTGTTTTGAAAAAGAAAAGAAAAGAAAAAAGGCTAAAATCCTCCTCACAGTACCAAAGCTGGCAGCCCGTACACACAAACACAACCGCCCTCGGCACCAAGGCGCCGTACTACGGCAACATCGCCGTCGCCGCCTTCCTCGCCCCGCCCTCCTGCTCGTCCTCCTCATCCTCCTCCTCCTGCCCCCCCGTCTCCGTCGCGCACATCCCGCTCGGCAACGACGGCGACGACGGGCACGCGGCCGCCTACGCAGCCTACCACGGCACGGCGCTCGTCCGCATCCTCCTCGTCGACCTGCACGCCTACAACTCGACCGTCAACGGCACGGGCACCACGCCGGACCCGGACCCGACGAGGGAGGACCGCGCGACCTTCACCCACAGCTTCGCGGTGCCGCCGTCGTCGTGGCGCGACGGGGGGCTCGCCGGCCTGCGCCGCCTCCGCGCCAACGGCAGCGACGCCGTCACCGGCGTCACCTGGGACGGGTGGAGCTACAACCACGAGCTGGACGGCGGCAGGCCCGTCCGCCTCGACAACGTGACGGTCGGTGAGAACGCGCTGGTCGACGGCGGCCGCGTCGTCTTCACCGTCTCGGCGTCCGAGGCTGTCGTCATTAGTGCCCCCGACAGCGGGTGCTGCTAGGCTTCTTAGGTACGGTATGGGGCGGTTTTTTTCTTCTTTCAAAATAGGGTTTCTTGATGGGTGGGTACACACACACACACATACATAAACACACACACATACATATATATAAGTATCTATATACTCGGAAAGAAATGGGCATGTTCCCCTCATAATGGCGTTTCCCCCTCCCTTGACGCATATCGGGCTCCCGTCCGCCGAGAATGCCTCCCACCCTCTTTAGCCCCGAGCCGCCTTTTGAATTCATACATACAAACCCAACGCTTCTCTCTACGTCATGTCATCTGGCCGTCTTCATATACGACGCCGTAGGCGTCAACCCAGACGTGGACGGGACGGTCCCTCAAACAACCCAATCAAAAGTGACGAACGAGGTATATGATGGAAAACCAGTCTGAATTTGAATCATCCTCAGGGTGGGTAACAAAACAAAAAAAAGACCAAGTCAAAGGGTATCGAGAATACCAATAAGCCTACACCCCCCAAAACGAAAAGAACCACTGAATGAAAACTGCCAAACCAAACCAAGCCCGAAAAGCCATACCCTGCCATTTATACAGTTCCCCTACCAAAAGAATGCAGTTTGTCAAAACTCCCCGAAAAGACACCGATATCGCTTTTTTCTTTCGAAATGTAGAATACCATCCCTATCCATCCTCCACATACGCACACACGCACCCCAGCTCTCTAGTTCAGTCGGGGGCTCTTCCTGCGAGGTCCCAGGCTCGACGAGAACGACGCCGGGGGCACGTTCTCGCGCCCCTCGATGGGGAGCAGGCTGCTCTGCTTGCGGCCCTTGGCCACAACGTGCCTCGCCGAGGCGCGTTTGTTGAAGAGCAGCGGGGCCGTGTGCTCGTTGATGGACATGATGCTGGCCGACGGGTCGTAGCCGACGCTGCCGGCGGTGTTGGGGTTCACTTCGCGAAGGCTCATGTTAAAAGGGGGCATCTCCGAAATCATGCTGAGGGCCGACATACGGGTCGACGCGCGCGCTGGCGGTGAGCGAGGAGGCGGCATGTCGTTTTCATTGTCCGAGAAGACGGCCGGGTCGGACCCCGCCTTGGTGGGCGTGGCTCCCTCGCCGAGCTCGGCGAGGAGGGCCTCGTGGGCCTCTGTCCGGGGGAGGTTGGTCGGGTACTGGTACTGGACCTTCACGGGGGTCTCTCCCGTGGGACGGTACTCCTGGATGGTCGTGGACTCAATGTCCTCACGCAAGGCGGCCAGCGGCTTCGATAGCTGCTGGGTCAACGGGTTCAGGCCCTGCTGCATCTCTCCCGTCTCCGTCTCCATCTCCTCGCCCAGGTCCTTGACGCGGTCAAACGTCGACTTGAAGTGGCGTGCGATGCTGTCGAAAGACTTCTCCACGGTCGACGACAGGCCCTGCACGGACTCGCCGTGCCGCTCGTGGTGGGAGGCGTTCTCGGAGCGTGCACGGGTGACGAAGTCGTCCAATGCCTCCATCTGCACATCGAGGTCCTTCAACTGCTCGTCCACAACGCGGACAGTCTCGGCATGTACGGATTTGGTCGTTGCTTGGATGGCCGTGCTGTGCTCTTCGGCGGTCTGTGAACGGTTAGCATTATACCAAAATGCAGCGAGGGCTCGTTGTTGGCTTACACTCCAGTCATCCTTCAGCTTGCTCTTCATGGCATCGCGCGACTTGGCCATATCGTCCAAGAATTGCCCCTCCTTTTCGTCCCAGACCTCCATGTCCTCGGAGTACTGGGCCATATTGCCTTGCAAGGAGTCGTTCGAGTCTAGGACGCTCTTCTGGAGGTGCGCCGTTTTCTCGGCCAGCCTGCTCTCTTGGGTTTCCGCCTGAGCATTGATGAGAGTGGTGATCTGGGCCAACAGATTCCGTCGGTCCTGAGCCGCCTGCTTCCTCTCCTCGTCAAGGACCCGCTGCATCTGCGAGGAAATGTCCTCGTTTTGCTCGACAATCGTATCGGTCGCGTTTTGGAGTTGTTGCCTGAGCCTGTCGGATTCACTTCGTTGTGTGGTGATGTGCGTCATGAGATCCTCGAAGATGCCCTTGAACTCTTTGCCCAAGGAGCTGTACGAAGTGTGCAGCTGCGTCTGGGTTAGCGGTGAAGCTCAACGGGCAGAAGAAAAGAAAAAGTGAAAAAGGTCCGTAATGTCTTACCTGGCTGTGAAAAGTGTCGAGCTCGCTGAGGACATCGGCAGCGATACGCTCCGCGGCACCGGCAATGGCCTGGAGGCTCTGACCGACCTGCTGCTTGACCGTGTCGCGAACGACCTTGATCTCCTCGAGGACGTCGTCCATCTCGTCCTTGGACTTCTCCTTCTGCTCCAAGAGCTCTCGGCGTGATGCTGCAAACGAATCCAGCTGCTCGTCGAGGAACTCTTGTGTAGTGGAAAGCTTCCGCAGCTCCTCGCTGACGAACGAGTTCATGCGCTCGGAAATGCCCAAGATGCTCTGCCGTTGCTTGTCTTGAAAACTCTGCACGCGTTGCTCCACCAGGTTTGTCACCTCGCTCACCTCGGCTTGTGCGGTACCCCAAGCGCTCCGGTTGATGGACTGGAGGTCAGACTTGCGTTTGTTCTTGGCCCGGAGGCCATCGACATCGTTCACCGTCTTCTGCAGGGTGGCAATCAGCTCGCCGCCGACCTCGGCCAGCTTCTCCTCGGTTTCTTGGTGGGCCCTGCGGAGGTGCGTCTCTTCTGCCAGGCTCCTTCTTGTCGCCTTGAGAACGAGCTCCGTCTGCTCGAGCACGCCCTGCGTCTCGTCGAGCTCTGCCTTGGTGCCCTCGTGATCCTTGCGTAATCCCATGAAGCTGGACGTCAGGGCAAACAGCTCCTGGACCTTGTTCTTGAGGTTGTTCTCGAGAGTCTCCATCTTGGCGGCTTGTTCTTCCATGACGATGCGTCGTGACTCGCTCTGCGCCGTCATTTCCTCGTACGACTCGTTGGAGAGGTAAACGCCGTTGCGCTGGCGGGTGGTGATCAGCTCGCTCTTGAGCCTCTCGATCTCGGTGGCAAAGTCCCTAAGAAGCATCCTCTTGTTGATCAAGGCGTTCAGTTGCGGCTTGTTGCGGATGTTCTTTGCCCTAAAGGCGTAGTCGAGGGTCGAAATGGTTTCCTCCAGATTGCTCTTGGCGGGCGAGATGGTGGCGATGATGCATGTTTTGGTCTGGCCACCAAGGGAGTCTTGTAGCAGTCGAGTTAGTTTCGACTCTCTGTAAGGGATATGCTGGCTCTTGTCAACGAGGGCGTTGATGACGCGGCCGAGCGTCAAAAGACTTTTGTTGATCAGGCCGGCCTCGGCGGCTCGCTTGTTCTCGGCGCCGGACCGCTGAATGTTTTCACTACCGGCCAGATCGACCAGGTTGAGCTTGCCAGCGCTGACGTAGTCCTCGGCACCATCCTCGCCATTCTTTCGGACGTAGGCGGTGACGGTGAAGACGGTGTGACTTCGGCTACTGAGGTCGTTGCACTTGGTTGCCGCCACCTGGCGCTTCAAGCTTCCATCCTGAAGAACCTTGATGCCCTCGCCGGCGTTCCTGATGTGTCTCTCCTCCATTCCCTGCACGACGGTGGTGGCATGCCTCCTCGATGTGTCGTCAAAGATCTTGAGCTTGGGGCCGTCCTCGACGGCGATGAGGTCGCGCAACTCCTCGTTGTAAAGCTCGATAAAGGAGCACTTGACGCAGCTCTCGGTGTCGTCGACCTCGAGTTTGTTGAAGAGCGCCTGAAGAGCCCTGGGGATGATACCGGCGTTGTCGGAGAGGAGGCCCAGGGTTTCCGACATATCGCCGGACATGGTGTAGGTCTTGCCGGTGCCGGTCTGGCCGTAGGCGAAGATGGTGCAGTTGAAGCCAGCAAGCATCTACATGGTGTCAGCGGGACTGTGTCGAGCAAAATGGGGGAAATGAGAAAGAAAAGAAGGGGAAAAAAAAAGATTGACCGGGAGGGGTAGAACGAACCTCGTCCAAGATGGGTTTGACGACATCGTCAAAGACCATAGTCTGGTCGGCGGCGGCAGAGAAGACGCGGTCAAAGTTGTACGTCTTGTTGCTCAGGGCGTTGGCGCCGAGCTTCAGCTCGACATTGGTGCCCTTGGCGCCGTCGGCCTGGACGACGACGGCGCTGTTCTCGCGGACCTCGCGGTCGTTGCGGCCTCTGCAGCGGACGACGACGTTGATGTTGGTCTCCTGTCCCGGGGTGTCGAAGTCGTAGTCGCGCTCCTTGCGCTTCGTCGCGGTGGTGGCGACGGAGGCGACGGACTCTGCGGGCGAGGCGGCGCGCTCTCCCATCCTGGAGGGGGCATTCTGGTACCGCAAGTTGGAGGTGCGCGTCCCCGGGCGCACGCTCGCGCGAGCTGCGGCGCCGGTACGCACGTTGGACGAGGTCGGCCTCGTCAGCTCCCGTCTGGAGCTCATGGTTTTTGTGTGGTTTGTTTTGTTTTGCTTGTATGTGTATTCGAATCTCGGTGATGGCGTATTAAACAGGTTGAGGGCAGCAAAGTCAACTCATCCGAGAAGCCAAAAGGGTCCCTACTCTACCAAGCGCGCGGTGGGTGTTGATGTTTGATATACCGTGTGAGGCAAGGTAGTAGGAACGGGCAGAGAGAGAGAGAGAGGGTGTGTATGTGTGTGTGTGTGTGTGTGTTGACAAAGAGCCGGGGTTGGTAAACAGACCATGCGCGCCCAAGTGGGGAGAAGCTCTGTGGTTGGCTGACGGCCTCACCGTTGCCCAGGAAACCGCACCCCCCCCATAGCGCTCTCCACTCCCCCCCTCCGCTCACCTATTTTGCTGGCTGTTGTGGCGTCATTCTACCGGCCGGTGGCGTCGCTCACCAAGCCTCCGTCCATCTTGACAAAAAGTCCATCTCTTTAAGGTGGGATTTAGTTCGCAAAACAAAATTAATATCATGTCAGACTGGCTGAATACTTTCAACCCGACTGGCTGACAGAAAAAGTCTCCACTGTTCATGCCTTGTGGACATGCCAAAAGAGGCACTAACTAACCAATAACTAACCACCACCAACACCACCACCACCACTGCACGTTGCCGAGTTGCTTGCTTAAACATCATCAATGACAATGCGTCGTGACAACTTCGTTCCTCGTCATTTTCATTCACTGTCCCTCGTTCCTCTCCGAGCCTTCAAGCCCGACTCGCATGAGGGTGCCCGGCCATATGGTGCCATTCGCCCGCTTCATCTCAAAGTCGGCGACGATGCTGAACCCCAGCTTTCTGTAGAACCTATATTGCTCATCTGTCAGCTCTCGGGCGTCGAGTCTTCCAATTTCCCGGCCCAAGTACTTACTCGACCAATTTCCTCCCGTTTCCCGCCCACGCATCGAGGTAGAGCGTCTTCGCCCCCCTCTCGAGCCCGTAATCCCTGGCTTGCTTCACAAGCGCCTCCCCGGCCCCCTGGCGCTCATGTCCCGTTCTGAAATCCGTGACCAACACGTCTAGATACACGAAGCCCTCTTTCCCTTCCAGCTCGGCACGGATGGCGTCCACGTGAAACTGCGACTTGACATGCCCGGGGAGCCAGTTGTCGCGGACGAACACCGCCCCGACCGAGAGCAAGAGCGCCCCGTCGTCGCCCGTCCAGTACCGGAGACCGGCGTGCCGCCTCGGCTCGTCGTCGCCGCCGCTCGGGATAAGGAGAGGCGCCGCCGAAGACGGCTGGACCTCGGCGTCCGCGATGAAGATCCGTAACGCCTCCCCCTCGCCCCTTGCCCGATACCTCTCCGACGCTCGAACGTCCCTCGCCGTTTGCTCGCGAAACCCCTCCTTTTCGCTGAAGGGCCGGGATCCCCACATGCCGTGGCTGCCCATCGCTTCGAGGTACGGTAGCGTCGAATCGAACACCTCCACGATGTAGGCGTCATCCTGGGGAAGCGCCCCCGCCTCTCTGATCCGCAGCTTGTTCATGATTCAAAGCTAGAGAAGGGACAAAAAAGAAGAAGAAAAAAGAAAGAGTAGAGCAGTCCGGCGCTATGTTTCAAACGCAGTTGGCGGGAATGATGAGAACGAAAGGCGTCAATGTATGAGCAGATACGAGGTTCCAACACACACGCCACCCCCGCATAGCAATACTTATCTGCCGTGCTGTCTAATGTAGCCCTGTCATCATGCTATTCCCCGCTCTTTCTTCCCCGAGATCACAACGTCAAGTGTTGTAGAAACACCAACGTGTCAAGAGCAGTGTGTCAAAGCTACTTCATAACCACCTGCTTATCCTGTTTACCCAAGAACCGTCTATCCGGCCAAGCACAACTCTTAGACGTGCAGGACGCCTCGTTTGTATACCAGGTGGTAGTACTGGGCCATGCATGGTGTTTGTCGAATTGTCGGATTGAACGAGGAGGGCCGGCCTATTGGGGCCGCGATGCCGACAGATATTCGCTTCCCTATGCGCACTACGACACATATCATGATGGGAGACGGCGACAACGTCTTTTCCCCATCTCGGTGGCAAGCCGTCATATGCGGGATCCTCGCCTCCCACAAATAGCAAAAGCCAGCCAACGAAGGGATCTCTCTTTCCCTCTCTCGGTCGTGACCGTCCGTAACTTGCCGGGCATGAATGTGATGGGTCCGAGCTGCTCATGCTCGCGTATTCCGGCTTGCCTCTCTTGTCCAACTCCAGGCCCAGCGGCTGCTGCCAAGTCCTGAGTTCTTGCGAGCATGTGCTGTTAATCCCCGTCCGTAAGGTCGAGAGGCGTGCTTTTCAGCCTTTCTCCGAAGATTGTGCTACATCTGAGATATGCCTGTCTTTGCTGCCCGTCGCGGTCCAGAGAGTGCCCCTAAAATTTGCATACGACCGCGTAGCGTAGTCTCATGGCATTCATCAATGCTGCCGAACTCGGCCAGACTGCGACAAGTCTTGACCTTACGGGTATTGCGCGGCAGCTGCAGGCGGGGTGGCGAGGCTGCTCGAGAAGTTGCATCGGGATCCCGACAGAGCTGCAACATGGTTAGCCTTGGCCGGGGTAAATAATGCCAAACCTGGTCTCTAGTTGCAACGGGGGCTTCGCAAGGCGAATCTGGAGTCAAAGCTGTCTTACCTGATGATGCACCAAAGGTTTCCTGCCCCAAGCATTTCCGCATGACCAAGCATGGCGATCCTAAATCATATCGGGCTGTGCTGAGAAGTGGGTGATTCTTCGGCGTTAAGGAAGCCCAATCGTATCCCTGTTGGCGTCATGTTGGAACATTTTCTTCTCGCAGTCTTCAAGAGCGATTCATGGTCTTGTACATAGGTAGACTCCATTCAGCTAGTGCCTGAATGGTATGTGAGGCCATCTCCGTGCGTAGCCGCACGGTTGGTCGACACAGATGTCTTGAAACTGCTAGCCGATGCCGGCGCTAACCAGTGCATCTCATCTAGAGATCCCAAGGATTGAATCCAGGCGGTTTACTTCAGATGCTCGAGATAACCAAACTTGTCCACTGAGCAAAGATGGCAGTCGTGCTCACCAATGCCAGTGGTGTGAGCAACCAATAGTACGGTGATAACGCCTTTGGGTTTCGAACGAAGGAGTCTGGAGTTCCTGATTGGGATAGGAGCCAGCCATAGAGGCCAGATAGACGTGCTTGCGGGCCCTTCTCTTGGACAATGCAATACTAGGACGAGCGCAACGTGAATGCAAAGCCCCTTCATGGGCATAGGAGATGGCCCTGATTGGCGACGGCGCTTTCACCCGGAGGCTCGAATGGACACGGCCCGCATCACCATAACCCTGAAGTTGCAAAGAAGCATTCTAATACCCTAATGTTTGGCCAACCTTGGGGACTCGAGGGCTTGCAGGTCGGTATCAGGAGTGAGATTCATGTTCTGTCGTGATAGCACAGTCTCCCGTTCGTCTCTCTGCCGCTGTAGGGTTTTATTCATGGACCCGGCTATGTTTTTCAGCGGTTGCTAATATATTACACTCCTATGGCCTTGACTCTTACATTTATGCGAGAATTCGCCGTGTGGCTTTTCCAAGAGAGATGGATCACAGGTCATGGAACACCAGGCGGCAGTGCTCATCTTGAGGTCTTCGTGCCAAGGCAAGTGATTGCTTCGAGCGTGGAAGTCTCTTGAGTCCAGTCCGTTTTCAAAAGTTGCAGAAAAGTCAATTGAAGGACAGAGCATTGAGAAAAGGGGCTTGAAGTTAACGGTGAGCATTTGAAGACGAGATACGAGCTCGGGAATCGTTAGACAGGCGTAATGGCGACGGCACCCCCATGACGAGCCTGAGGAAGCATTATCCGAGCATGGGCTGTGTCGCAATGGGTAATTCGATGGTATGCCTCTCGGACGAGCCATTCTAGCTAGTAGGAAGCCTAGACGCTTCTCGGGGCAATGGTAGCGGCGGTAGGACGTCGGGTGTGATGTTGTTGAAGTCGTGTGATAATGGGTTGCAGTGGTGGTCTGTGACGGTGGTCGAGGCGACATTTTGAGTATTTGCAAGACACGTGCGGCACCACTTCAGGCGATCTCAGATCCGGGGAAGCCGTAAAGGAGGGTCGACGGAGGGACTCGGAATGAGGGGAGCAAGAAGCATCTTGTGATGGTGTTGGTGGCGGTGATGGCGGTCTATCCTTGCGAATTGGCAGACCGGATTACACAACAAGAGCAACCCGTGAAACGGAAGCAAAAGTTGTTGGATGAATGCCGGTCTGTGGGTATCAAGCCTTGGGGAATCTCCGTGCCCTACCTCAGGCAAGAAGTATCGCATGCCAGAGGGGGATCGTAGTTTGCCGGTTGAAGCAGATTTGAGGCAGAAGATTCCATGCGGAGACGGGGAACGAAGTCAATGGAGGACCCGGAAATTTCGTGAAAGGATGTTATGCTTGGCGGTTGCGTGAGCGATGCCGGGTGTCTTGTCCTTGACGGCCAGCCAGCCCAGCCATGGCGGTTGGCCTCTGTCGTGTTCGGAGGTGCGTAGAGAGTGTAGAGAATGCTGATGAGTGTCTGTGGTTGCTGATGAAACCTTGGTGAAGACAGATTGTGAATATCGCATCACCAGAAGCAGTTGCATGCAAACATATTGAAGGTAGGCGATGTTCAATATCCGAGATGACTGCTGTCCATCCTCGCCCACAACCAAGGTCCGGCCTGGATGAAGCAGTACCTACCTAACTAGGTATGTACGATGTACGATGATATAGGTGCGTACTGATGGTACACAGTACTCGATTTCTCGGAATAATTGCCTTGCTGCCTCATCTTGAGCTCACTTTCCTTCCTCCTCACATCGTTGTGTAGGTACTCGTACAACTACCTAAGTACCTAGGTATCTTAGGTACATGCTTTAGTGTACCTACACTAGGTACCGGTAGGTACATAGTTCCCCGGGGCAGTCCCCGCTGCTCATCCATTCTGAGCTGGGTTGTTGCCGACTGATAAGATAAGAGCTTTGGGCCTGACACGGCAGGTGGGGCATATCAACACATGTGCATGTATCCGTACATGATGATAGCATGGTTGAGCTCCAAAACGTGACGGTTAAAGTGACTGGAAGCTTGTACCCTGTACCTCGGCTAGCCGAGTGACGTCTCCCCCCGAACCCAAGCCCCGCTAATTCGTTGTCACTGTCGCAGCATCACATGAACCCCTCTGTCGGACCCGTGGACAATCCCTCAGACACAACTTGCGCTTTGCTTTATTTTGCTGGCCGTAATACCTACCGCTCGCTGCCTCTCCCTCTCCGAATCCGAGTTCCCTCCTTAAAACCACCATCCATACCACCTACGTTGCATATCGACAGCAAACAAGCTCTTGTGGGAACCTCGCATGCTTCCACCCACCCCGACATACAAGACGGTTCCTGCGACGACGCCGCCCTGAACACTTCGCGGGCCCCGCGCTGAGCCCCAATCGCATACGCTAATCATGTCACTCTTCACCGCGCAACTGCACCCAGGACGGGCTCTGGGCTTTCTCGGTTTGCATGATTTCCATCTACCAGAGGACACTCGGACGCTAACTTTAATGCGTGTCGCCTAGTTCTTGGAGCCTCTTTGCATGATGTCTTGACGCGACTGAAGGCCGAGCCGCAACGTTTTCCACAACTCCATCTCGCCTACTCTCGAGAACTTCCCGTCGAGCAGCCCGTGACCCTAAGCCTTCCTGCCAACGGTATACGCCTACGCTTCGACGGCCCCGAGCAGCGCTTGCGCCTGATAGAGATTGTCGACTTCACAAAGAATCATGTCACGTTTAAGGACCGCGATCTTGTCAAGCCCGCAAACTCCCAGGGCCCGCCGTTGTCGCCTGTCCCCGGCGAGTCCACCTCCGGACCAACCTTCAGACAAATCTACCACAGGTTGCTCGGACCGACATACGGCGGAGAGTTCATACCGCCAACCCCTGATGCCCCCGACAACCTGGGAAACTACATACTTTCCTACCCCGGAGTTGCCTTTACCTTCCGACTGGCCGAATCGGCATACTCCCCTACCAAGGATGTCGTTTCGCTGCTGTCCTCGGCCCAGAGCCAGGTACCCACCTCCATGGCTGTCTTCAGCGGCGATTCTTGGGCTCAGGCCCGGGAGTGTCTTTGGACCGAGATCCTGCCAAGCGTCAAGACGGTACCTGTTCTTCCAAGAGGGAAGGACGTGGTCCCCGACGAAATATCGCTCGTCAAGATTCACGGGGGTGGAAAGCTCCAACTGTTTCGCAAGTGGACCAACTCTTCCATCTGGATCATCCTTGGAGAGACCAGCCCCCAAGAACTGATTGCGGAGCTTGGTCCCCCCAATGCTACATATCGGAAGAACGATCAGAGAATGACGATACACAAGCTTCGGACGGCCAGCCACAGCAGGGCTCGTTCAAACGGCGCTGATCTGCATCAGCCAGACGATCTGACCGATACCGATCAGTCGTCTGCAAACACTGGCTCAGATGACTCCAACGACGAAGCGGTAGAAGAAGACATTGCCGGAAATGTTTCTGGGGAGTGCTTCTACAATTACTTCTACCTGGGCTTCGATGTGCTGGTGTCAACACCTTCGCCGCCATCGAGACCGCCGCCCGCTCAGCACGAATCTCAGGTACCGCCGAGCAAGCCTATCAAGTCGGAGTCTCCCGACCGCCTGGTTGCCACGAAGATGGTTCTCCACGGCAACGTGCCTGGCTCGTATGAGTTCAACAGGCACCGCCGTTGCCGCTGGGAAGTCAGCTATCTTGACGACGGTTCCCCTGGCACGGCAGCAAACTCGGAGACGAAATTCACAGACATTAAGGATAGACTGAACGAACGATGGAACAGCGCGCACCCGGAAGGTGACTCCAGAGCTCCTCAAAGAGGCATGGTTCTCAACCGGGGCTGGGGGGATAGCCCCGGCAGCAGCTGCGAATTCCTTGGAGGCTGGGAGGACAGCGGCGCCAAGAGACTCGATGGCAGCGACGATTCCACCACTACCCTATTTGGGTTCCCCGGTCTTGTGTTTGAGGTGTTGAAGAACGATCATGTCAACACGGTGACCGTGTTTTAGAGTTTGGACTGGGCATTAAACCGGCAGCCAGCTGTTATGGCCATGCTGCGAGCGGATTCGCTGCGGCCCTGGCCGGGGAGACGAGGCTAGACGGTAAACTACGATATCCCTACAAGCAACTTGGCTTATGCTCAAATCAGATGTACCTTGACACACCACCGCCTGCCTTTTAGGCTCCGTTACTGGGCTCATCCGCCAACTCAACATGGAACAGCAATGACGTGGATGCTGCCAGATTTCTCGTTTGCGAGGCTTCTTCAACCATCCACTTGCAACAGTCCCATCTGATTTCGCCCTTCATGCAAGCCAGAGATGGGAGAGTTGAGCTTTGTCCTCGCTTTACTTTACTCATCGGTCTGAGTCGGTTTATGTTTCGGCAGCCAAGGGCATTGCCACCAGCACCTACCATGTTGTAAAGCTCTAGCAGCTAGCTCCGAGCAGGCCGCTTGTGTTCAAGACAGGTTCGTACACGGCATCGAAAATAATAAATAATACAGATAGAAGCCTCAATGATCCCCGGAACAGCATAGAACAGCTCACTCTCGGAATACCCAGCGATACCCCCCCCCCCCAAAGATACCCCCCCGTATACCCCCGTATACGCCCATATACGCCCATATACCCCTTGCCCATTTCGCACCGCCCACAATGACTGCTGCCGCATCGGGTCAGAAGGCCAAGCAGAATGCTTTGGCCCTTAAGCGATACCTTCCGCGCAAGCTCAGGGAAGCTGCCGAGGACGAGGCCGCGGTGGAGAAGGGAGTTGGACACGACTTGACCATCTACAGCTTCGACCGCCCCAACGGCCAGTACGGATACACGCCTTTCTCGATCCAGTTGCGCTTCCGTCTTCGCCACGCCGGCGTCCAGCACAAGGACCGTGCTGCCAATATCTTCCAGGCCCCCAAGTACAGAGTGCCGTACGTCAAGCTTGCGGATTCGGACGAGCTCGTTGGCGAGACGCAGTTTGTCATCCAACGGCTGGTGCAGACGGGCAAGCTGCCGGATCTCAACAAGGAGCTTTCCCCCGCCGAACAGGCCAAGGATGCTTGCATCCGAGCCATGTTGGAGGACCGCGCTTACTTCCTTGTCGTAAGAAGCCCCGCCCGGCGCACTAGGACGGAGTGTAGTGCTAGCAGGATGCTGACGAAACACACACTTTTAGCTTTACGAGAGATGGCGCGACCAGTTCGACACGATGTGGAACGACGGTCCCTTTGCGCACTTCGTCTGGGGTGCGAAGCAGATTTCGACCCAGGCGGCCCGCGGCTACGTCAACTCGCAGCTGTGGTTCCAGGGTGTCGGTCGCTACAACAACGATGAGGTCAAGAAGTTCGCCTCGGAAGTCGTCATGTCCATCAACGGCTTCTGCGAGACGTCGCTGTCAAAGCTGAGTCTGGACTCGCGAGAGTCTCGGGAGCCTTTCTGGATTCTCGGCGGCCAGCGCCCGACCGAGGCCGACTTCATCGTCTACGGCAACCTTGCCACCGTCATGGGCACCAACGTGTAAGTGATAGGCTCCTCATATCCGATGGCGAACAGCCGGCAGGACTCGAGGGCGACGCGGGCTAACGAAAGGGACACACACACACACAGGAACCCGGTGCATGCCGCGCTCATCCGCGAGAAGCCGGCGCTGGTCGAGTATGTCGGGCGCATCCACGAGCGTTACTTTGGCGAGTACAAGTCCCCCGTTCACTCTTGAGATGGTTATGGTGAGTGAGGTACCACGATACGCCAGGTCACCCAACCGAAGGATGCGCCCGCGGTGTATGTTGTTGGTTTCGAGCCCGGCACGCACACGGATGCGGGCTCTGCGCTTGAATTTTGCATGATTTCTCTCGTTGGCTGTACAGAAGGCAGATGGAAGCTTGGAAAGGGGGGCGGGGGGCCGACACTGGTCAACAGGGCCCCCTTCCGTTAGGAGGGCACCAGAATACCTAACTCGAGTTTTCTTAATCTACCCTAGAGCGTAATAACCTGTTTCTTGACAACCTCTGCGTCTACCGCTGGTGTGTGTCTGTGTGTGGTCACCCATGGTGCTGTGCTGACATGGGGGGACCTGGACGGGGGGGCGCGGCGCATGTGATTTGCATGAAATGCAGCAACGATGACAATCGCACACACACATGCGGAGAGGGGCGACATTAATGCCGTTGGCGCTAGTCGGATAAGTTCGTCAAGGTGTGTTGAGCCATATGGTCCAGGCCGGGAAGACCCTTTCAGACACATTTGGCGGTCTGAATGCAACGCGGAGAGAGAGAGACTTAGCGCGAATCGAAGCCCCCCCCCGTGTTCGCTTGCCGGGCTTAGCGCGCTCAACGCCCTTTCAAAAGAGTTGAAAGGGTTTTGTTTTTTTTCCCATGTGGCTTGGGAGCCTTGCAACGGTTTTCATAGCAGACAAACGGAAAGACAAAGAGCATTTTGTCTGCCAAGGCGTTGGCAACTCCCAAGACGGTGGGCCACCTCGTCCTCGGCCACCGCCATTTATCCAGATGCGAAGAATAATACGTACGGGTCTATGAGATATTCCGTTCCGAAGAATGCCGAATCGGGTGGGGTAAATCCCTCTTGCAGCTGTGGGGACGGGTGGGTGGAGTTTGTAGCTCGTGCGTTTCGGTTCGGGTGCAACGCCACGGCAGAGCTACAACCACCTGGGCTTGAAGGGAACACTCACTAAGCTGTGGTTGGGAATCCTGGAAATGTCCGTGTGTTGCTGCTGCTGCTGGGGCTGTGGGCGGACTACACCAATTACCTACCTACTTTGTGCTGTATGTATCCGTACTCCGTATAGTTGTACGAATTACTTCCGTACGCACACGACCACGAACAATCCTGGGGCCGCGAGATCGACACCATCCATTCATCCATCCATATAATCCTATACCCAACTGGCACATGTCAATGCCCTGTTTCGGCTCCGACGAGTCAGCGCCATCATCTCCAAAATCTTCGTCACCTCTTGTCCCTCCACATGGCCGATCTGTACTGAACCACCACCACCACCCCCTTGCAACGAAACCGAGGACCATGACACTCGCCATCTGCTAACGTCCCTCTGTTTTTTTTTTGTTTTTTTCTTCCTTTTCTTCTTGCTGCCTTTACCAACGCCAACGCCAACCCCATCTGACTCGGTGCATGCATGCATGCATGCACTGCCGACGACCAGCCGCGAGAGAGCAACACCGATAGCGACCAACCAAGACCGAGACCACGATCACGACGACCCCGACTCCGACCCCGACTCCGGCGACCGCTTGCTGAAATTCGAGACTCCGCGACGGCCATGCGAGCATCTCCGCCGTCATGACGGAGAAGGATGCCGCCCAGCAGCGTGCCCTTCTCGCGAGGAGGCTGAGCCCACACTCTGTGCCTGGCGATAGGGGAAGCAGCAGCAGGGGTAGCTACGAGACAGGCGAGTCGAGCACCGCCGGGAGTGTTGTCAATGACACAACCCTCTTGCCGTCGTTTGACGAGTCGACCGGTCGCCGCATACATTCGTCGAACCCCCGAGAGGCCGAAAACACAAACGGCTTCCATGGCAAGGATGCGAGAAAACAACGGGCGTCTAGGCATCGCTCCAACGGAGCCTTCCTGCTACAGGATGCCATCCGCAATGACGACGACTCCGATGGCGACCAAGCGCCTCGCCTTCGTCACGTACGCAACCTTCCGCCCGTTCGCAGGACGCAGGAATATGGGAAAGCATCAGACAAGTCGGGATCCAGCACTGGCCGCGACGGCGGGCTTGACATCTCACCGCTGGATAGTCCGCCGAGACGAAACGGTGACACCTCGCCAATGTACCCTACACACAATCCCGCCGCCGCCCGGAAACGAGATGCCTCAAATGGCAGGCCTCTCTCAGGATCGAGCTTCATGTCCGCCACCAACACCCCTCTCGATATCGACTCTGCGCAGATTGTGAACATGGCCCTGAACCTGAGCGAATCAAGGAGACAGGTCTCGCGGAGGATAGCACCGCCCCAGGCGGTTCCGACTCTGGCCCACCTTCCTGACGCCACGACGGGCCCCAACCTCAAGAACCATTTACAGCAACAGAGGAGAATATCGCGAACGAGGTCTCCGGGGCCCGACAGGGCGCTGACGCCGCGCCTCCCCTCTACCGGGATCCTGAGCAGCCCACTGCAGGCGACATTCGACATGGGCCGCGAGGGCTCCTTTCGCAATCACTTCACTGCGTCGACCTTGGCACGAGTGCAAAAGGCCAAGGAACATTTGGAACTCATGGCCCAATACAGACGTCTCTTGGAGCTGGTGCCACCCATACAACCGCCTCATCAACATAATCACCATCATCTTCTTCATCATCATCACAGCCGCCCGACAACCGCTAGCCCCCCCGCCTCCTCAGGAGGTATTGCTAAAATCCCGACCTATGGCAGCTCCGAGGGTAGCGTGCGGCTCGGGCGGCCGTATAACCCATTGCAGTACATTCGAAACAGAAAGGTTCGAGCCCGAGAGCGCAAGGCCATCGACGGGGAGGGCCAGGGGTTCGGTGACATAATAAAGGTTGCCGACTGGGTCGACGAGGTGGCCAGATGGGCCGCCACAGGTCAAACAAACGCAGAGGGCTGCACGCTTCCGCCCTTCGCTGACGCAGATGCCTCGGAACGGCAGAATGCTACTCAGCTGGCGGCCAACGCCAACAAACCAAGAAGGCCCAGGCTCGACTGGGTCATAGACGCGGCGGACCTGCTGGCCGATGCCTACTGGCTGGAGCAGGACCATCACAAGCAGTTAATCGAGAACCGTCACTGGCGGCGCATATTTCCCCAGAACGTCGACCTTCACAGACCCCTGTCGAGGCAGAACGGGGAATACGGGAGCGAATCCGGGCAAACGCCAGGGCACAAAGAGAACGAAGAGTCCTTGCCTGCAGGCGACCCTAGGACCAGCAACCCGAAGCTGGCCAAGTCGGATACGGACCACTCTACGGCCAGCGCCCGGGATCGCGCTCGTCAAAAGCTGCATGATCTTACGGGTCATCATCACCACCGCCACAGCAGCTCCATGCATAGCCATCACGAGTGGCGGCACGGGAAGGCATCCTCGGACCTGTCGGACAGCGAGAACGAGGGCAAGCCCAAGAAAGAAAAGAGGAACCGGGCAGGCACACTCACCAGCAGCCACCAAGACATCCTGGAAAAGCAGATGCTCGAGATGATCGCCATGGAGGCGAGAGAGAACGGTCACCAAAAGCCACAGGGATCGGGTTACGTGACGCCAGAGCGAAACGTCGGGGACAGGTCGCATCCACAGTCCCGGCAACACAGCCGAAAGCCGTCCATCGCCGACTTCAGCGAGTCTGACGAGAGAAAGAGTAAGGAAAAGCCTCGCTTCACCCCGGTGCACCTCCAGCGCCAGACAAGGGCCAGCCTGGAGATTCCGACGACGCTTGGCGGGCGGGGCTCATTTGAGGTTGACTCGTCGCTGCCCAACTCCCCCGACGGCGCCGCGCGCGGAGACCCTTTCATCCCGGCGCTTGGCGGAGATCTTTCGGCGGCATCTAGCCGTGGCAACTCTCCGACCCGAAACCCCTTCACCAAGGTCAGGCAGATCTTCCGCGAGCGCAGTAGGGAACGAGCCGGTGACCGCATCTCGGAAGAGAAGTCAAGCGCCGAATACCTGCCCAGCGCTCCCAGGACACCGTTCGAGGCCTCGCCGGAATCGTCGGGAGAGCGCAGATCGACAGACAGGCGGGGGTCGTCCAGGAGCCCACCCCCTCGCAAGGTCGTGCAGCGTCAGACGGGCGAGAGCCACAAGTCCCATCGCAGCATTACTAGCATCAAGCTGCGCAGCGACGAACCTGGCGTTCGGGGCATCTTCAGAGGAGCCCGTATCGACAACGTCATCCGCGGCGGCGTATCGAAGCTCGGTGACCTGATCTGGCGTAAGGAGTCGGACATTGGTGATGTTCCCTCCGAGGCGGAGGGCACGACGACGGACGACTCGGACACGGAGCAGAGGGGCAGAAAAAGAGGCGAGACGCCTCTGTCTCGAACGGCCTCGATCAGAAGCCAAGGAATGCGCCAGCAGAACCCCAAGACCTACTTGGACGTCATGCCAGCCTTCGAGCCCACGTCTCAAGACAAGTTGAGGCACACGCAGAGCGAGCCGCTAGATCTGCCGGACAATTCGCCGCCCTCGGCGAGCCGTAAGTCGCCTCGCTTCGACAGGCTCAAGCCGCCACGTATCGACATCATGAGCGCGTCGCCAACCTCGTCAAACGGTTCAGCAGCCAAACGGTTATCGGACGTCTCCGAACTGGAGCCTCTGTCCGGGGGGCGCATCCCCGGCGTGAAGGAAGCGGACAAGCGCTTCAAACCCATCATCACCGTGTCACCCTTTGCACCTAATGGGCGGCCCAGATCTGGGTCCAACCGCAGCCGACACTGGTCGATCTCGGACTACAGCCCGGCACCGGAACGAGCTCCCATGTCGAAGCGAGAGATCGCCCGCCTGCGCGCCCTTGTCTTGAGCTCCGGCATCAAGGCCATGGAGATTACGCGCCGCGCCAACGAGCCCCACGCCGTGTTCGCGGACCGGCAGACGCCGTCGCAGAACGACGTCCAAGTCGCCAACATCTTTTGGCCCGAGATTGCGAAACTGAGTCCCGACCCCGACGGTGTGCGCAAAAAGGCCGTCCCCCAGACGGAGCTCTACCAATTCGCCGCTACGACCCTGGGCAGCTCCATCAGGTGCTCCGGCCAGGAGTGGCAAAAGACGGCCGACCTCTTCGTGTCAGACACGGTGCCCTCCCTGCACCGACGCGTCGAAGACGTGCGCAGGCGCGTCGCCACGGACCTGTCGGCCATGACGCGCGCGGCGGCGGACGAGGCGGACGAGACGAGCCGCGACCTCACGCTGGGCCAGAGGCTGAAGATCAAGCACACGCTCGACGTCATCGAGACGATGCTGCGGCGGCGGCGGCGTAGGTTCCGCTGGGTCCGTCGCGCCATGTGGCTCGCCGTCGAGTGGGTGCTCGTGGGCTTCATGTGGTACGTGTGGTTCGTCGTCATGATCCTGCGGGTGTTTTGGGGCGTCGGGAAGGGCGTCGTGGGGGCCGTGAGGTGGCTGCTGTGGCTGTGAGCGAAGACCACGCCGTCCGCGAGGTCTGACGTCTGCCATTGTTTCCCTCCGTTCGTGTGTTTTTACGAGCAACCTCTTCTCCCCGTCTGTGCTCGCCCCATCCTTTCTATATCCCGAGTACCTACTATTAGCGTGGCCGTTTCATCATCAGCACTGTCATTACGATGCATAGCAGACGGAGCAGAAATTCCGCAGCGTCTTGGGAAAGTTTATGCGTTGAATCGGCATCATTCAGTTTCAACATATATCACACACCCTTCCCTTACCCCCCCCTTTTTTTTCTTTTTTTCTTTTTGGGATTTTTCTTTTTGAATACTATGTTGGGCAGCCGGGATAACCAAAACAATCACAATGTCAACAACGACAACCACAATGGAGACGATTGTGGACTGAGAGCCAGGGGAGGTCGGCTTGTGAAGAGCAGACAGATGGGGGGTGGATCTGGAGACGGAGGGGAGAAGGAGGTGATGATACCCGAAAGGAGAGAGAGAAGAAGAAGGAGAAGAACAAAGGGAGGGAGGACCGAGAGCCGTCCGCCTTCACCTGGCCCGCCGGATCTTTCAGGAGCCCGACCCGGCTTTCCTTGTTGCTTTATCATCCAGCGGCGAGTTGCGTATACTATAATTCTTTTTTCTCCCGGACGGTACACGAGTAATTGGGGAGGAAAAGGGGGCGGGGTTGAGCGAAGGGCTTTTGAGCGGTCTGCAGGGGGGAGGAGAAGCCTTTTTTTCTTTTTCTTTGCATTACTACTTTGAACGTCCCCTTTGTTCGAGAAACAAGTCGACGAATTAGGCGCCGGATATATACATATAATGATACATACCTAGTTTCCCTCCTTTTCCTCGCCCCCCCCCCCTCCCCCCCCCCATCGTCCCGCGGGACGGAAAGGGGACTGATCGGCACATAACTTGGGCCGAGGGGAGAGAAGGGACGGCCGTACGACAGACGGGCATGCGAGCTTGAAGCCAACGGGACGCGGACAAGAGCACGCATATGCTCTTTTACGCCGAGGACTCTTTGCTGAAGGATGAAGTTTGCGTGGCGGGTTGAGCCGGGAAAAGAAGTAATAGCAGTGGTAGCAGTGGTAGCAGCAGTAGTAGTGTATTATTCAGTTCTAAGCAAAGGCCCATGATTCTCTGGCGACATCTTCCCCGTCTTCCGATGCCCAAGGGGGAGACGGACTGGGAAAAAAACACAAAACCCATCCATCATTTTAACTGACAAGGGAAGCCGAGGATTCTCTGCATGACCCTCTGCTGGACAGATGCGATGACCGAGAGGCAACAGCACAAGCACCTCCAGCTTTCGTACGTCTGAAAAACCGTGTGTGGCGAGGATCCCTTTTCTTTTCATGTGGGAAAAAAGTCGTGCTCAACGCAAGACGAATGACGAAATGGGAAAAGGGGAGGATTCTGAGACCCCGTTTTCATCCGAGAACAGTTAGAGGAAAGAGATTAAAGGGGGAGAAGAAGAAAAAAAAGGACCTGAAAACCTGTCCCATAATCTGCCCCCTTATTCGATCCTCTTCTTGCCCTCCTCGGCGTTGAGATATCTCGCGGTGCTGAGACCCCGCTCGTGATGGGCGACAAAGGAGCCCAGGACGGAGTCCTTGCGGGCCTTGGACATGTGCTCGGCGTAGCCGTCGTTGGCCCACGGCCTGGGGTTGAGCTTGGGCCAGTTGACCTGCGCGGATTCGCGTTAGCGGATCGGGACGATCCCACCCACCAGAGGGAGAGAGTGAGGGGGAGAGAGAGAGAGGCAGAGAAAGAGAGGGAGAAGAGAGACCAGGACATGGGGAACCTACATAGAGCATGCCGTGGCCAAAGATGAAGCTGGCGCACCAGGCGGCGACGGCGAGCCAGAAGAGGATGAAGACGCGGATGGTGACGACGGCGTCCGTCTTGGAGAAGAGGCCGACGAGGACGAGGAAGACGGAGAAGGCGAGGAGGTAGGGGACGGACTGGATGAGGATGGGGCGGCGGTCGGCGAAGACGAGGGCGCCGCCGATGTTGGCGGTGCCGGGGGAGTAGACGCCGAGGAAGAGGTCGTACGAGTCCTGGCGGGGCCCGTCGAAGAAGTTGTTCTTGAAGTAGCGGGTGACGCCGATGCGGGCGTCCTGGAGGGCGCCGAGCTTGGTGCGGTTGCCGGTGCGGGTGACGTCCGTCTTCATGGCGCCGGTGCCCGAGTAGGAGCAGGAGACGACGTCGGCGTTGTCGGCCCACAGGTTGCGGAACATGTGCTCAAAGGCCGGGTCCTCGTCGCGGAAGGAGGAGCCGCGGGCCATGAGGCCCATGTCCTCAAAGATGCGGTCGAGCATGTGGCGGGCGAACATGGACTGGACGACGTTTGTGCGGTCGAGGCAGTCCATGCAGTTGGTGCGCATGACGCTGGTCTGGAAGGCGCGGGGCTCGAGACGGCCGTCGTTGGCGGCGGCGGCGGGCATGTCGACGGCGCGGAAGTAGCCCTGGGCGTCGAGGGCGTCGCGGAGCTTCTCGACGAGGGCGTAGGCGCGGTGCATCTTCATGCCCTTGGTCTCGTGGTGGTAGTCAAAGTAGACGTAGTGCAGGCGGTCGAACTCGACGGCGCGCTTCTCGGGCTGGATGACGGTGAACTTTTCGTCCGTGATGCGGTCGCCCTCGGTGCGCTCGTTGGGGGAGGAGACGAGCTTCTCGACCATCTGCTCGTAAGAGGCCTTGACGCGCTGCTCGCGGCCCTTTTGGTTGACGAGGTTGATGAGGTAGTTGTCGCCGTAGATGCGGATCTGCTCCTCGAAATGGGCCTTGGCGGCGGGGAGGGCGCTGTCGATGCCGCGGACCTGCAGCTTTGGGGTGTAGCGCAGGCTGTTGATCTCGGCCCAGTAGGTGGGCACGCTGCCGCGGGTCTGGACGTAGGACATGATCTGGGTCTCGCTGCCGGCGGCGGGGGCGCCGCCGTACTTGCCGCTCTGCATGTCGCTGCTGCCGGCGAAGCCGCCCATGGCGCTGCCCGAGTCGTTGAAGATGATGATCTGCTCCGTCTCGTTGTAGTTGGCGGCGTGGCCCTCGTCGTCGACGCCGCGGGTGAAGTATCGGGTGCCGCCGCGGTGCCTGGAGCGGCGGGAGATGAGGGCGACGGTGACGGGGGTGCCCTTGAAGGTGGTCGGGCGGATCTCGAGCATGCCGAAGATGACGGGCAGGATGAAGGGGTCGACGGCGGGCTGGGGGCCGGGGTGGCCTCGAGCGCCCTTTGTGCGGAAGTCGACGAGGTCCGAGTGGATGAAGCGGTTGAAGAAGAAGCGGTCGTCGGCGCGCTGCCAGAGCGGGAGGGAGGTGTCGGCCGAGGCCTGGCGCTGGAACGAGTTTGTGAGGTCGATGGAGTAGGAGAAGTACATGGGGCCGTTCTTCATGAAGGTGTCGAGCAGGCCGATGAAGGTATCCTCGTCGGGGTCTCGGATCTGGCGCTCGCGCATGGGGAGGATCTCGGTGGCCACGACCTTGTAGACCATGTGGCCCTTGAGGCGGCCGACAGGATTGGCCTTTGTGATGACAATGACATACTTGTCTAGGCGAGGGCGGGAAGTGTCAGCGCAGCTCTGGACGGAGGGAGAGACGGAGGGCGACGGAAGGGGGGGGTTCTCTCACCAAGTCTGAGCTGGACGATACCCAAGATTCCGGCGATGCTGGATACCCGGGATACCCTCTTGCTTTGGCCAGCATCTCCGAGGCGCAGGTCTCCGGTCGGGCGGTCGATGACGAGGGCGGGAGCATCAGGCGACGAGGGGGAAGTGAAGACGTAGGAATCGGGGGCGACCTTGACATTGATGTCGCGATAAGGTAGAGTCGGTGCCATGACGAGGATGGAGGGGTCGGTTCGAGCGGGAGGGATAGGGTGGTATTGAGTAAGAGAAGAAGAGGAAGAAGTAGAACAAGAAGAAGCAAAGGGCTGGAAGGACAAGGCAGAAGAAGGAAGAAAAGGGGGCCAAGTGAATGAAGCCTCGATGATGAACCCCCCTTCTTGGTATCGTCGTCGACTGTCGCAAAAGGCTTGGAGGTGTTGGCAACGCAACACTTGCTATTTTGGCAAGCGTTGATCAGCTTGAGGACAGACAGACAGACAGACAGACAGCTTTGAGGATTTGGTTGGTCACAGATGGTGGTGAAGACCAATCAAAAATGGGTGTCGTCACTTTGCAGTCGCCAATCCAGCTGGGTTACCCTGGGTCCTCGAGCTTCTGGTTCAGTTCGAGGTTCCACAGGCCCTCCGTCACCATGCCATGTTCTAGTGTACTAGGTAGGTACGTACAGGTACACTATGTTCTGCACCCATGCGCGCTTGCTGTGCTGTGGCTTTACTCCGTACACGGCACCATATCCGTATGTACCAATGTCTCTATGTAGCTAAGAGTTATTCTTTTACTATCTACTCCGTATTTCATTTGTCTAGCTTGTGCACTTCTTGCTGTTGCCCAGGAATGAGCTGACTGTTGGGACCTGTCATGAACTCATGGCTTGTGAAAGAGGACAGGGATAGTTATTTCGCAGCTACCTGGATATCCACCACTCTTGTAAGCGAGGGAGCTTTGGACCAATGAAATGGTAGAAAAGGGACAGATTACATAAGATGGAAGAGTACGTACCTGCACATGTCTGCACACCGAGTACGGATACGTGCCTAGTTTACGGATACCTACCTACTACCTACACTACACTACGTATGCCGTGTGTTTACATAAGCCGCTCCTCGGACCCCCTGTCGGCTCCCACCCATCAACTCAGTCAGCCCGACGTCGTTGAGGTCAGAAGCCATCGGGGGGTCATAGTGTCCCCGTTCCCTTCCATCTGTTTGCACCTGACAGACAGTCCGCCCAGCTATAGGTACTCGGTACAGCAGGTGCATGTCATAGGTATCAGTGTACGGATACTCCGTAGGTATTCCATCACTGTGCCGGTAGGTAGGTGCGTGCGTGCGTGTAGACGGGCGAGTGTACGGATACGTACCCTACACTCACTGCCTGCCACAGGCAGTCGGACTCCATTATTTCCAACCGAACGGACCAGTTTTAATTGCCATCTTCTTTGTACTTGTACACTGCCATCATCCACATCCATCCATCCTACTTATCCGCTGCTTTCCACCTTACATTCCACCCCGTGCCGACCTCAGATTCACCCCTCCTGCCGCGCAACCCACGATCCTGGAATCCCGAACCCACGATTGCTGCCCGTTGCCTCCCACCCCCCTTCGCGACCGTCGACCTGACGCATTCTGCTTTGCTCTGCTCTGCTCGCCTCCCGCAAACTTTCCACCCAATCTAATCCGACCTCTTGTCCGTTTGGACAACCTTTTCGGAGCCCGACCGACTCGACTTCCCCGTTTGGCGACATTTCATCGACGCCGCCCAACCATCTCCACCTCCAATCTTCGCCTCGTCCACCCCAGGATAGGATCGCCCAACGTCGCCTTTACCCTACGCACCCATCACATCACGCAAAAATGGCAGCTCGAGGCCCTGGTGCTCCCGGTGCTCGCGGAATGAACACGCGCTTTGCCCAGTTCAAGCTCGTCTTGCTTGGTACGCAAATATTCCCCACCCGTACCCATGCCATGCCGTACTGTACCCCCATTAGGACCAAGATGGCTAACCTTGATGATGCACAGGCGAGTCCGCCGTTGGAAAGGTATTTATTCGCAGCTCAGGGAATAGCTGCCCCATGTACTGACTGACGTGCTCCTCAGAGTTCTATCGTGCTGCGATTCGTCAAGGTATGTGCTCGGTGCATGCCGTCGCCGCCTCCCACCTCGGAAAGAAGCCGCCTGCTAATCTCTTGTCCAATAATCGTAGGACCAGTTTGACTCGTACCGCGAATCCACCATCGGCGCCGCCTTCTTGACACAGACCATCTCTCTCGACGAGAACACCACGGTCAAGTTCGAGATCTGGGATACCGCCGGACAGGAGCGATACAAGTCGCTCGCTCCCATGTACTACCGCAACGCCAACTGCGCCGTCGTCGTCTACGACATCACCCAATCGGTACGTCACACCGTGTCCAATCATCCTGCCCATGCATCTATCCTGTGTCTAGCATGCTAACGGTGCTCAAGGCATCTCTGGACAAGGCCAAGGCTTGGGTCAAGGAACTGCAGAGGCAAGCCAACGAGAACATCATCATCGCCCTCGCCGGCAACAAGCTGGACTTGGTCACGGAACAGCCCGACAAGCGAGCCGTTTCCACAGAAGAAGCCGAGGCCTACGCCCGCGAGGCCGGTCTTTTATTTTTCGAGACGTCGGCCAAGACGGCAGAGAATGTCAAGGAGCTCTTCACGGCCATCGCCAAGAAGCTGCCGCTCGACCAGGCCGGCCCTAGGCATGCCCGCCCCGGTCAGCGACAGGGCGTCAGCCTGCAGCCCGAGACCCCCGGAAGCAACGTAGGCGGGCCTTGCAGCTGCTAAACGACGACGAAGACGACGATGACGACGCAAAACGAATATCGTGTTATCAATCGAGCCTAGAGAACCAACCGGTGGACGGCGGGGTGAAGCTGTTTTCTCTCTCTTTTTTCTTCTTCTTTTTCTTCTTCCTTTTCGTCGAGACGAGGCAGGCTCCCGTTGGCAGATTGCTCAAAGCCGACCCGTTAGCCAAGCACTGAACAAACACCACCAGCTCGTATACGACGGCGTTTAGGGCTGAACGGGGTCGGACAGCGTTGTCGCGCACCCTACACCGAAGAAAGGGGGAATGCCAGACCCAGCCTTTTTTTTTTTTTTTTTTTTTTTTTTAAATGTCAACAGGACGTTTTTACTCGTTTTGAGAATGGTTTTGTTTTTCTTTTCTTTTTTTAATTACATCTCGTGTCATTGCGCTGGTCATTCGGTTGCGTCAAACTGGGGTGTAAGGCAGTCCTGGAATAAGACGGTGTACGGGAAACGGACGGATTCACTTTACTGGGGAAAGCATCCTGCATCATTTGCTTTTTTTCTTCTTCTGATGTACAGTATGCAATAGAGGCAACTGTTTTGTCAAGGATGTGCCGTATACAACCCTTATTTTTGACTTGTGTCGTTGCTGTAGGCCAGTCAGTCGACGTGTTTTGTGAGTTTGATCGTGAAGAGTGAGAGAAGTGTGCATATGTCGAACTCGTGACATGGCCATCTTTGCCTCCAGTAGAGGGTGGGGGGGAGGCAGAAGTACGGCATCTTGGGTAAGGTGCCTTGGCTTAGGTAAGGCAGGCAAGGTACGTATGTACCTGCTAGCAATTACCTACTATTAGGAGCATCAACAGTGACCTACCTACCTACCTACTTACCTGGAGGCACAGGTAATCTGGTCCTGATAGCGATGAAATGGACAACAAGAAATGGTAACAGCGGGTGTGTCCAGTGAGTGACCCACAGTACAGTGCAGTCCAGTCCAGTCCAGTGCAGTGTAGTGACGTGAGGCCTGCCGCTCAATCCCGGTTCCTGCCGCTCGGTGCCCAGCGCGGCTACGGCAGAGACTGATAGAGAGCTCTGTTCTCACCTATCACTCGCTCGCTTTTAGCCGAGCTTTTTCCCTGAGCTTTTTTGTGCCTGGCTTCCATCACCTACCTCGAACCAAGAAAAACACGTCGAATTCTATCCCTCCCTCTCCCCCCCCAATTACGCCTTGTCGGCCCATCGCATCACCTCATGTTGCGAACGTCGATTCGATCCGTGAGGGTGCTCGGCCACAGGCCTGCGGCGGCCGTTGTTGGCCGCCAATGGCAGCCCGCCGCCGCCGCCGCCGTCCGCCGGAGACACTTTGCCGATGACAAGAAGCCTGTTGTTGACCCGTCCAGACCAGCTGCCCTACCGACCACCGAGACCGTCACCGCCGAGAAGAGCGCCGTTCCCGAAGTGGGAGCCGCCGAGCCGACGATCCCCAAGGCGGAAGTTCCTCTCACTCCCCCGACCCCCGACACCACAGCCGCTGCCGCTGCCGCACCTCCGCCTCGGTCTCCCGCTGCCGCCGCCCCCAAGAAGAAGGGCTTCTTCCGCCGACTGAGAAACCTGGTCTTGACCCTTGCCCTCCTCGGTGCCATCGGCTTCGGCGGCGGCGTCTGGTACTCGCGCATCAACGACAGCTTCCACGACTTCTTCACCGAGTACGTTCCCTTTGGCGAGCAGGCCGTCCTCTACTTCGAGGAGGCCGACTTCCGCAAGCGCTTCCCCAACATCACCAACAAGCTCAAGGGAAGAGACACGGGCAGCCAAGTCACCGTCCCCGCCCAGAGCGGCGCCTCTTGGAGGGTTGCCGACAACGGCGAGCCCGCCGGTCGCCAATCGAGCGCCGTCGGAAAGGCCGCCGCCAAGGTCGTCGCCGTCAAGGAGGAGCAGCACAAGCCGGTCCAGAAGCCCAAGGTGGTGCCAGAGCCCCCCAAGCCCGCTCCCGAGCCCGTAAAGGAGACCAGGCCTGCCGCTGCCGCGCCCGAGCGAGGCACGACTGATTTCAAGCCCCCCGAAGTCAACGAGCCTTCGCGCTTCCCCCCCATCGCCCCGATCGACCCTCTGAAGATCGAGGACGCCACCGAGCCCGTCGTCCAGGACCTCGTGCACATGCTCAACGACATCATCACCGTCATCAACGCCGACAAGGCCCACGGCCGCTACTACCCCACCATCGACAAGGCCAAGGGCGAGCTCGGCAAGGTCGGAAGCAAGATCAAGGCCATCAAGTCCTCGGTCGAGCAGGAGGCCGCCTCCGAGGTGCAGTCCAAGGTTGCCGACTTCGACAAGGCCGCCAACGACCTCATTGCCCGGGTCGAGTCGGCCATGGTTGCCCAGGAGGCGCAGTGGCGCAACGAGTTCGAGGACGAGATGAACAAGGTCAAGGCGAGCTACGACGAGCGCGTCAAGCTCGTGCTGGAGCGCGAGAGGCAGCTCAACGAGGAGCGCCTCAACAACCAGCTGCTGGAGCAGGCGCTGGCGCTGAAGAAGGAGTTCGTCTCCGAGGTGCAGAAGCACGTCGAATCCGAGCGCGAGGGCCGCCTCGGCAAGCTGGACGAGCTGTCGGCCGCCGTGGCCGACCTCGAGAAGCTCACGACGGGCTGGAACGAGGTGGTGGACACCAACGTCCGCACCCAGCAGCTCCACGTCGCCGTCGACGCCGCCCGCGCCAGCCTCGAGAACGCCACCCACCCCAAGCCCTTCACGCGCGAGCTCGTCGCCCTCAAGGAGATTGCCGGCGAGGACCCGGTCGTCAACGCCGCCATCGCCTCCATCAACCCGGCCGCCTACCAGCGTGGCCTCTCCAACGCGGCACAGCTCATTGACAGATTCCGCATAGTCGCCGGCGAGGTCCGCAAGGCGTCGCTCCTGCCCGAGGACGCCGGCGTCGCCAGCCACGCTTCCAGCTACCTCCTCAGCAAGGTCATGTTCAAGAAGCAGGGCCTGGCCGACGGCGATGACGTCGAGAGCATCTTGACGCGCACCCAGACTCTCTTGGAGGAGGGCAACCTGGACGCCGCCGCGCGTGAGATGAACGGTCTTCAGGGCTGGGCGAAGACGCTGAGCAGAGACTGGCTCGGCGAGGTGAGGAAGGTTCTCGAGGTTCAGCAAGCCCTTGATGTGAGTACTGCCCTTGGTTGCTATTATTTTCCTTAATTCTCTGCCTTAGCCCCCCGCCCTTGTACTTGACACTAGCGACTGACGACTCTCTCTCTCCCCAGGTCATTGCGACAGAAGCGCGCCTACAGACTCTCAAGCTGGAATAATGGACGGAAACTATTTTCTTTGTCTTGTTGGTGGTGGTGTGGTGGGGGAAGAAGACCCCAGAGATGCCTAGAGGGAGACCTTTTGGTCTGTGTAAGACATAGCCATAGACTTGAATGAAGGCAGTGTATTTTTTTTTATCCAGCCGTTGATAAGTAATGTATGTGATGGTCAACCGACGCTTGAAACCGAAGCTGTTGACGAGGAGCCGGAGCCGCCATGTGACGGACCGTGTGCTGCCACCGAATGATTGAAACGGAACGAAACGAAACGAACCGAGTCGTGTAATGCCATCATCCATGGAGTCGAACCTAGACCCAACCAACACAGACCCCGTACACGAACTTGACGTGTTGAGAGGGAGAGAGAGAGAGAGAGAGAGAGAGAGAGAGAGAGGGCCGTGAACACATCTGCCCGGGACCAGCGCCGAGTCCAAGGCCCCCGTCGACCGGCTCAAGTTCCGAAGCCACCCGCATATAACCTCTCTTCCCCCCCTCCCCCCACCGATCGACCGGCGGCACGCACTGCACTGCACTGCAACCTCCCTCCCCTCCTCTCCCCCCCCGAACATTTGGCCCAAACTCCCAAGGGAGCTCCGAAACCCCTCCTTGATGCATCATGCGTCTCTTCGCCTATTGCGCCTCAGCAGCACCCTGTTTCTCCGTCCGCGATTCCTGAACTGCCGCACGATGGCTACTACTACCGGGCGCACATACAACGTCAGTGGCCACACCTTTATCTCTGTTTTTTGTTTTATTTTTCCACGCGATTGCTGAGGGGAGCTTCCCCTCTCCGGCTGTCACTCCGACGTCGGAAGGGAGGGGATGATGTCCCCCACGCACAGATGGGATGGCGAGGGGGAAACGAAACAAGGGCAAACGGACAAAAGGGCTGACAATTCATCGTTGCGTATACACAGGATGCCGTCGACGCATTGAACACGCTGCAGACGCCCTTCGCCGTCATCGAGGCGAGGCGCAAGGCCGGCGTCCGCCCCGACGAGGCTTCGGTCAAGGAGATGCGCGCATACCTCGCGCGCCTCGGGTACTCGGTGCGAACACACACACACACACGCGCGCGCGCGCGCGCATTCTCTACAATCACGGGCGAGTCCAGCTAACGCGTCTTCCATCGACAACGCAGATCTCCGACCTCGATAGCCTCAACGTCATCCACGTCGCCGGCACCAAGGGCAAGGGCAGCACCTGCGCCTTCACCGACTCCATCCTCGCGCGCCACCGCGCCGGCTCCCCCGCCTCGCTCCCGCGCAAGGTCGGTCTGCTGACGTCGCCGCACCTGATCGCCGTGCGCGAGCGCATCCGCATCAACGGCTGCCCGCTCTCCGAGGAGCTCTTCGCCCGCTACTTCTTTGAGGTCTGGGACCGCCTGGGCGAGAGCCGGGCCGACGAGGACGCCGTCGCGCTCGGCACGCGGCCCATCTACTCGCGCTACCTGACCCTCGTGAGCTTCCACGCCTTCCTGCGCGAGGGGTGCGACGTGGCCATCCTCGAGACGGGCATCGGCGGCGAGTACGACGCGACGAACCTGGTCGCCCGGCCCGTCGCCACCGGCATCACGACGCTCGGCATCGACCACGTCTTCGCCCTGGGAGACACGGTCGCCAAGATCGCCTGGCACAAGGCCGGCATCATGAAGCCCGGCAGTGCCGCCTTCACCGTCGAGCAGGTGCCCGAGGCCGCCGCCGTGCTGGAGGCTATGAGTTAACCCAATACAAATCTGAAGACAACTGCCCCCGGTTGTGGAGGAGTAATAGTGGTTCGCGTGACATAGGTAGCGGTCGAATGTCCTAGCCCATCGTAGCGCCATTGGACGAACACGTCAATCAGGGGGCTAGCACATACAGCATCCCAGGACTCAGTGAACCTGCATAAAATCAGTCATAGACCCCTATACCCATGAGTCGTAAAGTCGGCAGTGTACAACCCGCACCTAGCTGCTCACTTGACCGCGTCGCGTTTTAAGATAACCTGGAGCTGGAATGTAAAGTACTAGCCCCCGTACCCTGACAACATAATCTTCAGCGTGTCTGAATCCGT